CCTCATATTTCAGCAGTGTGGCAACACTTTCAATCGGAAACCGAAGTAAATCTGAATGAAAGTGGGCATGGAGCGGGGGCAGTTACGGTGGGAGAGAGAACCGAACTCTGATTGCTCTCAGCAATGGGCAAATGTGATTTATGCGACTCGCTTTATGTAAAAATGTCAGCAACAATTCGAGCGTCGAGGCACAAATTAACTTCAATGGCTCGATGGATGAGTGGCGGCCAGGATCTGGCACTGAGAGTCGAGAAAGTCGAGACGTGTCCCGTAATTCAATATCTCAGCTTAGGCTGTGCCACCGTCTCTGGCGCAGAGGTCACATTTGGCTGCCAGCCTGGTAAGTATTCCCCCGAGGAGCCGAGTAATTTTCTACCCTTGGCACTAAGCATTATTGTGCATTAGAGGACTAATAAACAGGTTCGCAGCAGTGCCCGTGCCCATGGCTCTGCCTGTGCCTCTGCCCATGCCCATGCGCTCATCCTTCGCGTGCTCTCTTCACTCCGACTGTCGTCTTTTATTCATAGTTTTGGCCAGGCTCCAGCTTTTATCTACTACGTGATTTACGGCAATAACTCATCGGACGCAAGACGCAAATCAAGAGACAAATAAATCACGAACACAAAATTAATTCACTTTTTTAATTAAATCCCCGAATATACAGCGTCTTGTTGGACCAAATGACTTGGCATAAGTTTTAAAAATTGTACCAGGGAGTCTGGAGAGTTAAAAAAAATACATAAATAAGTAAATAAATAAAATAAAAATATAAAACAAATTATTTTAAATTTATATAAAATATGAAAAACTTTATAAAATAAATTTAAAAATTTAATAAAATAGTAAATATAAAATAAAATTAAACATATACAAATAAATAAATAATTATGCGTGCTTTAAAATTAAAAACATAAATAAAAATAAATATAAAATTAATAAGATTTAGAATTTAAAAATAATTTATAAATATTATATTAAAAATACATAAAATATATTAGAAATAAATAAAATATATAAAATAATTTATATAAATATAAAATATATTTTAAATTAAATTATACACATATATTCTAAAGTTCAGCATATTTTTTGTCATGTATTAAAGTAAAATAATTATATTTATATATTCTTTTCAGAAAAAAATGGGTTCAAAAACAATCTCAAAGAGGCTTTGTACCAAAGTTCTTTGTGCTACATAATAAATAAATATTGCGGGTTTTAAAATCAATTTTCAGCCTACATCAAGTGATTCCGTGAGGGTCGTCAGGGACGCAGATCCCTTCTCTCTAGCAGGAAGCGTAATGCCGACTTATGACACCAAAATATTTAACTGCTCAATTTTTCGGGCGCTGCTCTTGCCGCTGCCAGCGGCTGAAGGGCGGGTGTGGGGTGCGACGAGGGGTGCGGGCGTCATAACAAGGGGTTACACTTGAATTAGTCCAGTGGGATTGCAGTGCTCGAAGGGCGTTTGTTTGTTTGGCAATCGAAAGCGGAACGGGCCGCAGTCAGTGTGGCACTTTGTTCCCGTGTAATCACGCAGCAGGAGTCCGCATCCGTTGCGTATTGGCAACAGTATTGCAACAATTGAGACGTTCAATTGGCAACAACCACCCAGCCACCCAGTCAGACAGTCATCGAGCCACCCAACCACCGGAACAACAACCACCGCGAGTCGTTGACACTTCGTCTCTGTCCGCACGCTGGGCGCGCGATTAGTTTGGGAAGCTGCCTGCTGTGGCGCATCCGTAAATTACTATTGCGGTTCGATGTGGTTACCGGGCACATTGTAGGGTGGGTGTGGCCTTTGCGACGGTCAGGGATAGTGGCCCGGGCCGAATCTATCCAGTTGTGCGTGTTGTTCTTTACTTTGCTTGCACTTGAAATTGTCAGCAGGTGCAGCGTGTGCACTGAAACAACAACAACAACACCAACACAAACAGCAACAGAAACACAAACAGAAACAGATACAGATACAGATACAGATACATTAATACAAAGATACTCTGTTAGAGATACAGTTTTATATGCGAGCGAAATCAATTTGAGCTGCTGCCGATTGCCATGGAGCTCATGATGCCTTTACGCTTGGACCATTAACAAGCATTTCGTCGACTGTTTGTGCAATAAAAATGCAATTGTCATTAAGTGCCGGGAATATGTCACAACTGCGGCGCTTCTGCCGAACTGCCAGAGAGACAATAAAATTTGCCAGGACTCTGCCCCAGACTCAACCACTCGGCATGTGCGCCGGTCAAGAGCATCGATAATCATGAATAAATTGCAATAGCAATGCCATTGACTTTCTATACATGCGAAAAGCATTTGTAGCAAATAGTTGAGATGGGCTTAG